ACTAACAATAGAAAGACCGAACGTAAGTCATAACCCGCAGGCAACTCGTGACCAGCGGTGCGTAGGGTTACACTTCATCCGATCCTCCAGCAACCTGATGAGAACCAAGCTGGCAGTCCCAGATGTCCCCTGAGCTCACATTCTATTCTTGGTTCCGGTCACCGTTGGGTGGACCATGATACTGCCAATGAATCCGCTTCACCAAGCTGCTGTTGGAGCTCGATTTGGGACTGACCTTCAGAATAGTAGGTGAGGGTTAACTGGTCACATGAGATTCCAGGCATACTGTCATTTTCTTGTCTTCTCTGCTCTGTGCTAGGGGGTCACCTACCGTGCTCCTGAGACAGTGGTCAGCCCATTTTCTGTGAGACAGCATTCACTTCATGTTGCCAACAGTAGCAAGACAGTAGCTTTTCTGTTGGTAAATTCTGTCCACATTAACAACCATTTCCAGGCATGAAATCTCATTAAAGGAAAACTTCTGACTCAATGTGGTTGCGATCATTAATCAAGTTGAGGTTGAAACAGAGGCGAGTATCTATTAATCATGAGAATGAGGCTGGTTGTATAGAAAGACACCAAGAAGACTGACCATGGTCCATGCTTCGGTAGCATCTGATAGCACCCAATGAATTAGTGAATTAGCCTGTCACAGCTTCATGGATGCTGGGAGAAGATGCAACATGCCCTTGTCAAGAGGAGAGAGAGCTTATTCCCCATAGCAATTCTAACAAAGCAGTAGCATTTCTTGGTGTTAACTTTTAGTGTCACGTTTTTGGAAGTCTCAACATCTACAGAACTGCCACAGAGGCCGGATGACACTGCACATGCAGTGGCTGCCTTCTCTGAACTTGGGGAACCCCAATCCTTTATAACGGGCGGTAAGCATGTTTGCTCTTCGTTTTAAAGAGTGGCACTCTCTCTAGCTCCCAAGGCAGCTTGAAAAGATGGCCTAGAACAAAGGCAATCTCTGTTCACAGACATGCAGAGACACAAGAGACCTAGGTATGGTTTGTCCCCAAGGAGTCCTGTAGTGGAATTTTGATCCTCAGTGTGGCCATGTTAAGAGGTAGTGGACCTTTAAGAGGTGGGGCCTGGTGGGAGGTCACTGGGTCTTGAAGTGCTACCCTTGGAAGGGACCCAGTAATTCTCAAGGAACCCAGGCTTGCTCTCTTTTGAGAGCTAGCAAGCCTTGCCCCTCCCAGATCTCTGGATTCCGGTCACACTGTGTGATCTCTCTCTCATTCTGTCTGTCTCTCCCACGGGCTCCTGTCATGATGCCATCTGCCAATGAGGCAGCCAGGGGGGTGTCTTGCAAGAGCCAACAACGTGCTGTTTGGACTTTCAGTTTCCAAAACTATGAGTTAAATAAAACTTTTTTTTCTTTATGCCCTACCCAGCCTTAGGCATTTTGTTACAGCAATGGCAAATTGACTAATACACTCATGTAGAATTGATTTCAACAATCCCAACGCCAGACTCTCTCTCTCTCTATATATATATGTGTATGTGTGTGTGTGTGTGTATGTATATATGACCTATATAGTCTATATAGCAACTATATTAAAAGTACACTCCTCCTGCCCCTCTCTGCCTGTCTAGAATCCACTAGAACAAAGGGAACTCTGAGAAAGCCACCCAGCTAGCTCTATTGAATGTTCTGCTGGGGAGCCCAAACATGAAGAAAACACACACCAGACCGAATCTGGACCACCTTCTCCAATGACCCAATGGAAGAACCAGCAAGGCAGGATTTTAGGACCTCATCTGTAACTGCTTCAATATCAGTTGCCTATTGAAATGTCTGTCTGGTGTGTTGTGGTAGGAACACCCACAGAGCCAACAGAGGTGGAAAACAATCCAGTCTTTTTAAAACGACAATTCTTCCCCAGGCAAGATACACCAGGAACCATTCAACAAGCGCTTCAAGCGCTTGTTTCTCAAAGGGGTGGGAGGGAACTCCATGGGGCCCGGGCAGTTCTTTCTCACTCACGGGGGAATGTGAAAAGCCACACATTTCTTTACAGGCAAATTACAAACACACAGTAAGTAATACCCCAAATCCCAAAGGAAATGAAGCTAGCTTTTAGCAGTCACTGTCTAGCATCACCTGGTTAAAATAAATTCAAGTAGAGACACCATGAGGGAAAAATATTGGTGTCCCTCCCATGTCCAATTTGCAAATGGCTTCCAGAAAGTTCCAGCTACTGAATATGAGTTTTGTCCTCTTAGACCACAGGCAGGGTTCTCGCCACCCACAGCCTTTCCCGCCATTCCCTCTGAGGCCATGTGGCGCCATGGCATCAACAGAGGAAGGCGACAGGGCAGTAGGACAGCGTCCCAGAGTGGCTGGGTTCCCAGGGAGGGTAGAATGGGGTGGGGATGGGACCAGCCGTCCTCTTGTTAAACAGCAGTCCTGCAGACAACAGATCTTACCTTCCCAACTACCGCGCTTTCCTACAAAGACCAGTAACACCAGCCCTCATCTGTGGTTGCTAAGCTGACCTTGCACAGCACAGAGTCTCTAATGGAGACTCAGTGATATGGACTTGACTATGAACTCAACTTGATATGAACTCTGTATATCCCAGGAGTTGAAAAACGTTGTTTTCTTAGGAAAGTGATGGAAGGAGGTACTCCATGCTCAGGTGCTAAGCCCAAGTCCAGGGGCATTATGGTGATGGGAAGCCACACGGGTGGCTAAGCACCCACTCCATCCACACAGCCTTCAACCTAACCCCATCAACTCAGGGACCTGGCTCAACCAGGATGCCCCTCCCGGGTCTCACAGCTGTGAGTGGGGCTGACAGTAACCCACTACAGAGGAAGGAAAAGTCAAGTTAATGAGGGCTTCAGAGTCCAATTTGCTCGGGTTTGTATCAGTTCTGTTCCTGTGTGACCCCAGGTAAGCTGCTAAGCCTCTGGGCGTTTATTTTCTCACCCGTACGATGAGTATAGTGCATCTATTTCACAAGATGAAGGTCAGGATTAAGTGAGATGAAGCTTATGAGCTCTCAGCACCGTGCGAACTTTGATGACAACTGTTATAAACAGAAGTTGCTGCATGAAGTTTAAACTTGGACTGAACACTGAATGTTAGGCGACACTGAACTAGAATTCGGATACTTTGCAGCCCTTCCCCTAGTGATGAGACTATATATGTGATAAATAGCCAGTGTGCTAATGTCACAGCTGCCACCTGCTGCTATATAAATTCATATGAGGAGCTGAGGTCGAACTAGAGCCATCCGGCAGCCTGGTGATTCTCATTCCGGAGAACTTGAAGAAACACCCCAGCTCTGGTCATAGAGGTTCTGATACAACTGCTCAGAACTGCCCGGGGTCCAAGCTTCATTTGTTTTTAAAGTGTCCCAGGTCATTTTAAATGTACAGTCAGTTCTAAAAACCAATGCCCTCGCTGCGAAGCAAACAGTTGAGTTTTCTTAAAGAATCATTTGTCATATTCTATTGGCAAACACATACTGAACTCCTTGATGGGCTTAGCCTAGGATTAAGTCCCAGTCACCTCAAAGGTCCTAGAGTCTAGCAGGAGAGGCAAACAGGTGGGCGTGCTGGCCATACCAGAGATACACGCTGTGACAGGGCGGACGCTGCAGCCCTGGGTGGAAGCTTCAGGCAGATCCAACCATGCTCTCTGGGTAGAGCTGACGAAGAGGCTGTTTCAGGCCAAGGCCATCGATTTTATAAAGTCTGGGAGGAGGAGATATATAGAATGCTCCAGAAACCCCAAGGAATTCAGTGGGACTGCACAATAGCATAAGGCCAATAGCAGAGGCAGGAGACAGGAACCAGCTGCTCAGAAGGCAAGCAGAGGGGCTGGGTTTTAAGCAGGAGCAGAATGCCCAGGTCATGATGGACACCAGGTAGCGAAGAGACTGGACACCGAGAAGTTAAAGATTCCAAACTACCTGCAGCCAATAACAGAAGTTTAACCAGAGACAGCTTTGAGGGGTGTTAGCAGGGGGCAAGCTTGTTGTGCTGGGAAGGACCAGGAGTTATGGGAGAGGCCCAAGCTTCTCGGGGGTGGGGGCACTCAGGGTGATTAGTGAAGCTAGGCCCAGAGCAAGGCGGGGGAGGGGCCGTGAGCATGGAAGAAGGGAATTCTCGCTTTGTTGGAAGATGGTAACTTGGGCTGGTCAAGCCAAATGGAAAATCCTGCCAGTTCTGCATGTTTCTGGCCGTGAGCTCTAATAATAATTGTGGGGAGCAACCCGGACTGGACTAAGTTACTGGAATTAAGACTTATTCTATGCATCTGCTCTCCCACAATATGGCACTGGGAGAGGAGAAAACAGCTTCTACGCAGCTGCCTCTTGCCAACTTGAGTGATGACCTCCAGGAGCTGATCCTGCTCCTGATTGGAGGAGAGCAGCGTACTCGGCGTGTGGGCAGCCGAGTTGGGATTGGTGGAAGAGGACTATAAAGGAGGAGAGAGACAACATGCACCAGGAACATCTATCTGAAGGAACACCTGAGCAGCCCCCGAGAGAGCCGGCTGGCGGTGTGCCGCTCCCCTGCGGAAGTGGGGAAAGTGGCCAAGGGGAACCGCCCTTCCACGGAGGTGGAAGGGACAGTAGCCAACCCGGGAAGAACCAGCAGCAAACCCGGGGAGGGCCGAGCAGACGAAAGAACAGCGCAGGGTCCTGTGTCGTTCCTCCATGAAGACGGGGAGCGACAATAATTAGAATATTTAATGGATTCAAATTCTTCCTGGAGATTTCTATTAGGTGGGAAATGGGAGTTTTAATGACAGGGAAGAGACATGGCCTGGTACCTGCTGAAGGTGACCCTGACAAGGTGGCCCGGCTGCTCTGTGTCCACAGCCCCATCTGACTGATGACACCTCAGACACAGCCAGGACTACGCGCCTGGAAATACCTTAAATAAAAACCCAGATGCTGGTACCGCGTGCCCCTCAAAGAACGGACAAAGCAACATCATCCCATCCACGGGTTGGGTGAGGCATATGTGTAAACAGATCAGTAAGCAGCTCCATTTATTTCAGTAAGTAGCTTGTAAATAAATCATTGGTAAACATTACAAAATTAAATACATTTTCAAAAGCTTGCCAGTATACGTAAAATTCACAAACATAGTTCTTTTAAAAAATAAAATATGTTCAGAGCACCCTTGATAGAAAATGCTTGACCCCTGTGCTCAGACAGGGCCACCCAGAGACACCTTAGAGCAGGTGGGGTTTCCAGGGGAAACAGCAGGGGCCACCTGAAAGAAGAGTTTCTTCTCTTACCTTTGACTCCGCCCACATCCCAGCTGAATTCAACTTTGGGCTGTGCTCAGGCCTGGCTCTGAGCATGGGGACAGGGGTGCATAATTAGGGCCAGGACCCCCCCCCCCCCAAAGCTCTCACCATAAGCCATGGAAATGGAATCTCCGTGCTTCCAAATCAGCAAATGGTGCCGTACTAGCGGTCTTGTCACTCCTCCACCTGTCCAGCCCTGAGGTCTCACTCCCAGTCTGGTGCCACCCAGGCTCAGGAGGGACCAGACTGCGTCAGAGGAAGAACACACTGCCTTGGTAACCACTTTTTGATCTGCTTTCAGGGAGAGGGAACAACACCCAGTATTTGGTTGAAAGCGGAGAATTCAATGCTATCCCATGCTTCCCCTTCTGCTGCAAAACACTGCTCTGAGAGCGTGGGCATTTCTCTAGAAATCAAGTTCGTTCTTCAAACAAAGGGTTCATAAAACTGTAAAAGACCACAAATGAGGCAATAAGCACATGACCTGGCAAAGCATCCCAACCAATGAAATAATACAAAGTCCATAAATGAAGCCCTTGACCAACTCAACGTTGTCGTAGCGGAGCGCGTGAGAATAACGGATACTCCGAATTCTTTCACTTTGGTGCACAGAGTGAATGTTGAGGGTCAGCTGCACGGACGGGAAGAACAGCCCAGTGACCTCCCACTAAGGGACGGCAAGGAGTTTATTCCGTCAATGTGAAATGAAGCTCACAGCGACATCTTAAATGACTGGTGTGTAGATATATACAAGTATGAGAAATTTGACCTGTGAGTCAGATGTACAATATAAGAAAAAAGTATTCCCAAATTAGCTGTAAGAAAACCATCTTCTCTGTGGAGTAAGGTCCTGAACGCCTGAGTCCTTGCAGAAAATGCTGCCTGCCCTGGCCCGTCTCTGAATGTCCACCTGCTTTGATAATCCTTGGCTGGGCTGTAGTTAGAGTCATGATATCTTGGCTATTAAAATATTACACTATCAAAAACCTTTAAAAACAGCAACAGCAACGATCTTGAATAAATGTGTAGAAGATTCCCCTGCACACCAAAAAAAAAACAAAAACAAAACAAAAAACAAACAAACAAAAAAACAAACCAAACCACTTGTTCTTAAGGACAACTATTCTTTAACAAAAGTCGTCATGGAGTCTACATCCCAGAACCCTGTCTTCGTCTCCGGAGAACTCCGCCCTGATCCAGAATCATACGCTCTTCTTCTGTGGAGGGCTCAGTTTCCGCATGCCTCTTATCCGAGAGAGGAGCTCTTTGATAAATTCCTAAAAGACATAGAAGCAATTCATATGAGAGATCACGCTATTAAAATCTGTTTAAAAATCTGCCTAAAGTAATTTATGTCGATTGCAGATGATTTTCATTGATCAATGTGGTTGGATGTGTTCTCCAGGAAATGTTCAAAAAAAAAAAAAAAAAAAACAAGCATGCTTAGGACTGGTATTGTGGCACAGAGGGTTAAGCTCCCTGCCCACAACCCTGGAATCCTGTATCACCCCTGTTCAGTTCCCAGCTGCTGCACAATGTGATCCAGCTCCCTGCTAGTGTCCCTGGGAAAGCAGCAGAGGACAGCCCATGTGCTTGGGGCCCTGCACCCACATGGGAGACCTGGATGAAGCCCCTGGTTCCTGGCTTCAGCCTGGCCCAGCCCCCAACCATTGCAGCAATTTGGGGGAGTGAACCAGTCGATGGAAGATGTCTCTCTCTCTCTCTCTCTCTCTCTCTCTGCCCTTCTAACTCTGCCTTTCAAATAAAAGTAAGTTAATCTTTAAGAACAAAACAAAACAAATGAAGCATGCTGAAACTTCACATTGCAACGCTTCCTTCCCGCTGCACTCTCTTTAGGGAGAAAATCAGGCCACCTTCCATCATGAACCTCCACCCAGTCCCTGCAGGCATTTGTGGTTAGGTCCAGGTTGGCGTCTGAGATTGCGCTTCTCCACCTAGCTCACAGGGGATGCTTGGGGGAGTCCCTGGACCGCACCTGCGCTAGCAAGGCTAGACCAGTGCTTCTCAAACTTGGGCCTGCATCAGGACCACCAGGGGAACTTACAAACCAGAGCAAAGACACATTTTATACTCTAATTCAGCACCCACACACACTCTCTCTCACAGCCCTGGACTTGAGATTTTCAGGACAAATACTACATGGATACTCTCTGATCTTCCACTTACATATTAATGCTGAGGGAAACCTACCAACATGATTTCATGACCTGCAAATGATCAGAACCCAAAGACAGAAGAGTGATCTAGAATGGCTTCCACCAAACACCATCAGGAATCTGTCCTTGTTGCCTCGTGTTTGCAAATGTTTCGCTACCAAACAAATCGCCTTTATTAGGCCATAAATGCTTCATCTTCCAACATGACATTTGTCAAAGACAAAGCTGACAGCCAGTCTGCTTCCTGATCACCAGTGGAGGAGAGATCTGTGCCCAGTGGGGACCATCGGAGAACAAACCTACCAGGAAACCTTAGTTAGTCTCCATCAGGGTGGTGGGCATCTCCTTGCTTCAAGCCATGCTCTCGAACACAAGCTCCCAGAGCAAACATGCCCTATGCTACTCCCCAGCTTTAAAACACAAGCTGAAATATCCAGTCCATTAACCACCACAATGCTTTGCTAAATAACCTTTCTGCTATTATAAACGTGCTATGTGCTTTTTTCTCAAAAAGTTGGAAAGTACAAAACAGCAGCAATGTACTCTTCAGAATTAACCACTATGAACACTTCATTCTATGGACATTGTTTTCACCTAATTAAGACCATACTGTATAAGTATATTCTTTCTCTCCCCCCACACAGTGTTATGGCAGAAGCCTTCTCCCACAACACTAAACGGCCTTTCTAAAAATGAACAGGAATGGTTATGCATTGTTGTACTGTATGGGTGCTGTACACTCTGCTTAACTTCCCAACTCTGGATCTTTGTATAGTTCCTGCCTGGATTTCCAAAATTCTAACTAGCACCTGTGTCTGCAGGCTGCAATATTCCATTTAGAGGGCTAACTCTGCAAGTAGGTCAAAGGATACAAATATTTTAATCATCATTATTTCTAAACTTGCACAGAATGAAACACAAGGAAAGTAAAATCTAGGCCCCATGTTAATGTCCTGAATACTGTCTCTGTAAAAAATTTTCTCGGGTGGAAATAGTGTCTTATTTCCCCTGTTATATTCAACTTTCAATTTGAAAAGTTAAATGGCTTTCCTTTTGCCCCCTTTACTACACAGTTTAACCAATACTGGTGTTCAGCACACCAGTACAGTTTCAATTTTGTTATTTTTAAAATCTTTTACTCAATTGGCAACTATACACTACTTTAGCATTTGGGTGTAAATTTTCTTTCTTTTTTCCAGAAACAAAGATGAGAATCAAAAACTCTGAAATTTATTTTCATAACCTCCGTAATTTTTTCTGCACTATTTTAAAAACATTTTTCACAAAGTAAAGACCAAAATCACATAAAGAATAACGTGCCATTGTCTTAAATATGAAAGTAATTTGGTCACTTAAGCCAAATTGATATTCTCTCCAACAGACTATCATGGTTGTTTAACATGCGCATAAATCTCAGATTACAAAGTTTAAAAGGGGGAAGGTATTTGAGCACCAGTTAAGACACTGCTTTGGACGTCCCATATTGCTGTGTCTGAGTTTTGAGTCTGACCTCTGCTTCTGGTTATAGCTTCCTGCTAATGAGAACACGGGGAGGCAACAGGAAACAGATCAAGTACTTGGGTCCCTGCCACCCATGTGGGAGACCCACATGGAGTTCTCCACTCCTGACTTTGGCCTGGCCCAGTTCTGGCTCTTGCAGGCATTTGGAAAGTGAACAAGCAGGTTGATATTATGCACACTCTCCGTCTCTCTCTTTCTGCCTTTCAAAGGAAATGAAAAAGACATTAAATTTTCTAAAAAGTAGCTAAGTCTTTTTTTAAAGTTTAAATAAATAATTTGTCTTATGTTTATGGCATACTAACATTAATGAAAAAGTCTCGTTTTAAATTCTGTATTAATATAATTTATAGCCTGTATCTTAATATACTGTCTTTGTTCATTATGTGCATATTTTAAACTTTTCATTAAGTTTGCATAATGGAATGTTCAGCTGAAAACAGCAAGCTAAAAACCAGCGACACCAATATTGACTCCATACAGAAACGTGGCAGCGCCACTCACACAGGATGCTGTTGGTGACAGAAGATTCTCAAGGCTTTCTAACCAAAAGTACTCTGATACTCTTGTCATGTTTCTCAACAGCACTCGAGACTGGTAGCCACAGTTCACAACTCAGACCTGGGTTAGGGACTCTGATTAAGTCAGAGAAGGGTTGCCCCTTTGAGAGGACGTCTGAGTTGAGATGGTGGTGAACAGAGACAGGTCAGCTTGGAGAAGACCTGGGGACCCTGGTCACAGCACACAAGCAGAGCCCTGCAGAGAAGCCAAGGCATGGGCATCCCTGGCACAGAAAGGCTGGAGTGAGTGTGGTAGAGCATTGCCGGGGTGCTGGGAGAGGACCTCCTTGGCCAGAGTAAGAGTATTGTTGGTACAGCAGAAGGGAAGCCACCAGAGGCTGTGAGGTAGGGACACAACACCACCTGATTCACATTTCCATAAGCTTTCTTTGAGTCTTATGAAGATGAATTAAAGGTCAATTTCAATGTGGAATGAAAGAAGTATTTTTGCAGTGTCCAGACAAGAGATGCCGGTGGCTTAGAGTCTGTTAATGGAAACCAAAATGGAAATAAGTGGGCAGATGTGGGGCCCACTTCATAGGCAGAGCCAATAGACTTGGCAGCTGGACTGAATGGGGGCAGGGGATGGTGGAGGAGGGAAATGGGACAAGAAGGGAGTCAAGGTCACACCCAGATGAAAGGATGGTGCCATGTGCTGAGAGGGGGAATAACCGGAGGAGGAAGAAACCAAGTTCACGGATTTGTGATGAGATGTCAGGAAGCCAACAAATACAATCTTGGGTCTCCCCCTTAGCTGAAAGCATAAAATATGGACATCAGTAGCATCTAGATCAGCAGCTTTCAATGTAAAAACAAACAACAGCAACAATAACAAGATACCTATGTGTGATCCACAGAGATATAAGGCTGAAATGACGGTTCTGTGTCAGTCAAACTTGCAGTATTTTCCTTTTTGAAAAAAATAATAGGTTAACATCATCTAATGTGTCCTCACCCAAAATCTGCAAACACACGATGATCTAAATATAGGCTATGCCCTACAGCACCCAGTAAGCACACATGGCTATTTAAATTTAAATTCATCAAAAGAAATAAAATTTAATATTGAGTTAAGCTTACTAATCACATTTCAAGTACTCTACAGCCATATGTGACTAGTGGCTACCTATTTAAATAATACAGACAGAGTCATTTCCAGTGCCACAGAAAATGCTGTTGGACAGCACAGATGACAAGATGAATTACTTTGGAGAGTAAGTGTACACAAAGCAGCTAGAAGGCCAAAGATCAAGACCAGAGGCCTCAGCAAGTGAGGTCAGGTGGAGGAATCGGAGCCATAAGAGATGGGGGGAGCAGGGGCGAACCAGAGGGTGTACCATTAAGAAGCCAAGAATAGAAAGTGTTTCCAGAAGGAAGAGATACTCAGTGAGAGCTTAAGTAAACCAAGGACACAGACAAAGCCACTGGATTGGGCAAGAAGGGGCCCTTGTGTTCGCGACAGAGGCCTTAGTTGAATGGTTGGGAAGAAGTTCCCCCCAGTAAAATGTTCACTGTGACTTTTTGTGTGTGTGAGCAGTTTTATTAAGGTATAACTACTGTGCCATAAACTGGACACATTTAAGGTATACAAACAGCACATACAATCTGTAGGGTCAACGTAATAATATACTCAGTGCCTCCAGAAGTGTCTTTGGGCCCCTTTGCAATCCCTTCCTCTTCCAGAAAATGTGGATCTGTTTTCTGTCACTACAATTAGTAGATTCAGCCATACTGAGAGTTCATTTCTATTTTTTTGTTGTTGTTGAGTAGCATTCCATCATACAGATGTGCCACCATTTGCTTAACTCCTCACCTGTTTTCAGGTAATACTAGTCTTCATTGATTTTTCTTAAAATTGTGTGTGGCTATTCTGGGTCCTTTAAATTTTTTTAGAATTTTACAATCAGCTTGTAAATTTCTGCCAAAACAGCCTGTCGAGATTTTGACTGAGATTGCATTGTATCTGGAGAACTGACATCTTAGCAATAATGATCCTTTAACTCATGAATATGGTATACCTCT